CGGTTCTGTGATCAGTAGTAAATCTCCATCACATCACAAAAAAATCACAAGATGATATAATCGCGCAATTATGAAACCGAAGAAATTGTTCGTGAAAATGACAGCTGTTTGCGTAGCTTCTCCGTGAACTACGGCTCGGTGTAGTAAATGCTGCTCCATTTGAAAGCATGTGAAAATACCACATTTAATAACACATAATATTCTGAGCAATGATAAAGTCTATGTCGATTAGCAGTGCGTTATTATATACTTTATTATAATGAAACTTATAATAATAATTATAATAAGAACTCAGATAAAACATATTGTCATAGTCCTGTGTTTATTAGTCACGTTGCATCAATGAAAGCAGTTAAATCTTCTGTTTATTTCCTGGATTTCTTCTGCGGGGCATATTTGGCGTTCCTCTGGCCTTCGGTTGGAGATTTACTGCTGATCACATAACCGTGGCTTCACTGACAAGATGCGCATGACTATTGCTGCTTATGCCTAATCGCGATTGAGATTTAATTGCTATTTATCATGCAGCCTTATTAAAAACAACTGATGATTATAACCTGTCAATCAAAATGCGGCAGGAAAATGTTTCAGACAGCAACTTGCGTGAAGAAAATGTGTCTTGTCAAATGTATGATATTAAAGCAGTAATATCTCATTAATGCAGGTTTTGTTTGAACTTATAAACTATAAGCCACCCATAGTTCAAGCCGGGGTTGCCAGATGTGTTTTTTTCTTCACTAAACATTATTTGTAATGTGCCTCAAATTCAATAATCACAACAAGCTTTGTGTTTTGTTACTTCGGATAAGAAATAAAATCTCAGCTTTTAAATCCTGTACGTTTTATCACAAAATTCAAACATTAAATGTCGCATTTAAATGTGGCGTGACGGATCGCTGTAGCGCTTCAGTTCAAGAGGCAGCGCGGAACGCGAGTCTCTTCCGCTTTAATACAAGTTATAGCACAAAATAAATGTGAATGAACATCAGAAGTTGTGTTGAAAAATAACGTACAACTTACCGAAATCTATCATGTCTAATATAATCGCTTCAACAGAAAGTTAATTAGTTAGCTATGAAAACACTAGAGGGAGCTTAATTACTAGGGATGCACCGATACCGATACTGGTATCGGTATCGGGCCCGATACTGGCCTCCTGTACTCGTACTCGTACTCGTTAAAATGCCCCGATACCAAACGCCGATACCACACAGCATGTGATAAGTGCCATATTCAAACAAAGAAACACTGACAACAGAACAACAGACAGCAGAAAGGAGTTAAGGATGTCTACTACGAAGTATATGTATGCAATAAATATAATGTTAAACATTCAGTATTAACACCTGTATAGCTGATGTGTGCGAGCTGATAAACAAAGCACGCTGAGTGGATTGAGCGCGCGGCGGCGCTACTGGAAAAAGTGGTATCGGTGCATCCCTATTAATTACTGTTAATTATATAAGTATGTTTGAATAAATCTGTCGTGAAGACCAGTTTTTATGAAAACTACCTAAAGTGCAATTGAGTTGTATACAGATGTTTTTATATTTGAGCGTGATTATTATATCTGAAAATAAAAAGCATTGAATGTAATAGTGTTATTGTTCATATTAACCTCTAATATTACATACCAGTGTTTAGTTTACAGCATTCGATGGGATTTTTTTTTCTTCTTAGGAAATCTGAACTATCAATATCGGCAGATATCGTTCTGAATAATCGGTTATCGGCTGAGAATTTCTGTATCGGTGCATCTTTACTCATGATCTCTCTGGATTACTCTTATGATTGAATGATGCTCGTGTGTCTCTCTTTAGCCCAGTTTTTCTCCTGTTCCGCCAATTGTGTTCGGCACCACTCCGCCGCAGATGAACCCCGCCGCCCAACCCCGACAGGTACGGCACCCCAGACACGCATCACTTCCTGTGGGCCTGCTGGGTCATTGGCCCATTCGTTTTCCAGCCAAACCAAACCAGCCAGCCCGTGTTACATTTAATATACATTTTAAAGGTATTTAGGTATTAAAGACTTAAGCATCAGAAAAACACTAAAGTCTTCCATAAAGCAGAGATTCCCAAAATCTGCGAGCTAAAATATTTACCTGAAGTCTCCCTGAGATTTTAACTTATTTCAATAATTAAGCACATTCATATGGTCACAGTTCTCAGAATCAATGGTTACATGGCATGCAGGTAAACAAATACAATATTTAATCTTTTTAGTAAGTGTTTTATCTTGCTTTTTTAAATTATTTGAATTTTATGATTGTTGCCATAAAACACTTCCAGAGATAGAATCAAATCAGTCTTGAATTTTAATACAAAATTAGTACCTTCTTAATTTTTTCCAAGAATTTTTTTTTTAATAATTAAAAAAAAAGAAAAAATACTTTTGAAAATTAAAAAAAGAAAAAGATAATAAAATAAAATAAAGAAAATTAAATAATAAAAGTATTATTTATATACTATTATTGTACTTGTTATTTATTAATAATCTGTTTATTTTACATTTTAAATTTTTATGTTTTGTTTTCATTTTAATTTTAGTTTGTTTTAGTAATTTAGTAAGTGTTTTTGTCATTTTATTAGTGTTTTTTATATGTCTGTTTAGCTTATATTAATTTGCTTTGCTTTTAATTTTAGTGCATCAACTTTAAATTAAAATTAGAAAGGTTGCCTTGCCAGCTAACTGAAATAAGTTTGTTTTTTATTTGTATTAACTTTTTTGTAGTTTTAGTTAATAATAACAAAACTACTGCTGCCTTTTAGAAATTAATCAAATGCAAATGAACAAATCTTAAGACAATGAGAGATTGCAAAATTAGTTTCCGTTCATTTTGAAGTTATGCACAGCTAGTATTTACACTTTTCTGATCGGTGGATCTCGCTTCAGTATTTTGGGTCTTGGAGGTTCTGAATGGGATTTTTACTTCATGAACTTATCGGATGATCCCTGTGAAAACATTGAGGTTCATGTAAGTTTTGTCCAGAAAAAGCTAGCCTATATCTAGCCTGACATGTTTGGACAAACCAGACGAATTATCAGCGAGTGAACATGTAAGAGCGTCTGTACTTGAGTTCAGAGGTCGCCCTGCATCCTCCTGACCTCTCGTTGTGTGTGAGATTGGAGCGACTGAGGTGCTTCTGGGAAAACGGGATCTCTCCTCTGCTTTTGTGGCTGGTGTTGCTTCGGTTTCTTGACCTTTGACCTGTACATGTGGCTTTCTCTTTCTAGTTTGCCTCAGGTCCTAGGGCTTTACCACAACAGGTACTAACACAAACACTCCCACATACACTGAACAAGACCTGAAACATACTCTACGTCATTGAGATATGAATTCTGCATTGTATTTGCAGTGTTGCGAAATTATCATAAACTAGTATAAAGTCTTCTCTTTCTGAGCAGTAGTTTGAGATAATCTTGTGAAGCAAGTTTAAAGAAAAGCAAAGAAAAGTTTATATCTAGATACCTGATTTATCTGATGAGAGGGAGAATTAAATTAAAAATTAAATAATAAAACATACTTTTAAATTGTTTTAAAAAGAAGGAAAAGGTTAGATTAAGTCAATGAATTAAAAAAACTAAAAAATGCATTTAAATAATTAAAAGAAAGAAGCAAGATAAAATAAATAAAATTAGAATAAAGAAAAAGTCAAGAAGATGATCAAATTAAATGAAGAAAGAAATTAGTTAAACTTAATTAAAAAAGGAAAGTAAAAAGAAAGATAATAAAATAAATACAATTAAATAATTAGAAAATTAAAATATTTAAATATTTAAAAAGAAATGAAACCGAAAGAAAAACATAATACAATTAAATTAAACCATTTAAAAAAGAAAGAAGAAAAATAATTAAAAAGAAAGAAATTAATTTAAATTTAAATAATTAAAAAAAGAGGAAAAAGCAACTAATAAAGTAAGGTAATAAAATTAAATAAAATTAAATAGTTAAAAAAGAAAAATAGTTTGATGATAAATGATAATAATAATGAATGATAATAAATATAATTAAATTAAAAAGAAAGAAAAATAATTTATAAAAGAGAAAGGGAAAAAGTAAGATAATAAAATAATAGTTTTGTAGTTTAAAGACAGACATTCTGACAGAAACACTATCTGCCTTTTGCAGTGCATTGGCCGTGTTTGCGTGCCGCTTGTGTAGAGTATGTTTCCGGCCGTTACTGTGTCGTCTCAATCTGAACCGTGCTGAATGCTGTGTTTGCATGCTGCTCTGTTCCTCTAACTGTCTGTTCCAGTGGGTAACACACACTCTTCATCTCTCTCTTGCTCCTCTGCTGTGTGTGTGTGTGTGTGTGTGTGTGTGTTTGGTGCTGCTGAAGGGAGGATTCAGGTCACTGCAGGTAACGCTTTTCTTACACTTCGCAAAAATCTTTCTTTAAAATCAGTGTGAAACACAGTTAAATCCATTTTACTTTCATAATATGATGAGTTAAACAGCACTCTCGAGTTTTATCCACGAGGAATTAAAAATGTGAGCTTCATTCATAGGGCTGGGTTTTGACACAGATTTCACTAATCGATTCTCATTCACAAGCTTGCGATTCTATTCAATGTCGATTATTTTGGATATATATCAGGTACACATGCCAAATTTTCTCAAGGAAAAAAATTATCTTAACTAATGCTTTAAAAAATACATGAGAGTCAGTTGGTACTACATTACTACAATATTGAAGGTTAAAACTGACTGATTTTTAGGCTGTACAACTGCTTAAATTACACTTAATTAAGTTTTTATAATAAAAGTTACAATTACATAATAATATTTCTACTTCAATTCGTTTTTTTATTATATATATATACACATTCAAATGGTGGCTGTCATAAAAAAATGTAAATTAAACATTGAAGAACAGTAAAAATTTGAATGAATATGTTATATGGTGCATATATTTAGCAAAATGCCCCTCTCTCAAGTTTATTTTTCGAACAAGTTAATGGTCATCGAATATGTTTTTTCTGAGGTAAATGTGACGTTACGTGACATATTGTTTACAAGCCGTTATATTGGCGTCTTTGCGCGGCTGAAACACTGATTGAGCGATTACATGAGACAGGATACGGATTGTAAAGTTGTGCTCTTTTAACTTACCTTCGGATGTTTAGTCATGTTTATTTTGTGCTATAACTAGTATTAAAGTGGGGGAGATGATCAGTTCACGTGAGGCACTACAGAGATCTGTCACTCCACATTAAACAGCGCCAAAATGGCATTTATTGTTTGAAGGATATCGAGATTTTTTTTTTTTTACCCAGCCCTATTCATTCAGGTTAATTTCTGATGAAATGAAAAGACTGAATCCAATATTTGATAATAATATAGCTTAAAAAGTCGAGTGTCTGTGTTTTTCTCTCATTTCAGCCGTACTATACCAGTCGGCCCACTTTACCCGCCAATTCTGGGCGTGTCCAGCCA